ATCTAGCTAGGGAAATTGATACAATTACACAGATAAGTCATAATAATGATTTCAACGCAGATACTATCCAGAAGTTAGCCAGGAAACAAAGCAGGAAATTCACTCACAGATTAATATATCCTCAGGTCAAACAACCAGAAATCAAGAATTGGGTAACGCTAACATATTTTGGAAAAAGAACAGAAATAATCGCGGGTTTCTTCAGAAAAAACAATATGGAAGTAGGATTCAAACCGCATGCCAGGTTATCTCATTTTCCTACTTTTTTATTGATAGGGGAAACAGTTCAACTTGAAAACATGCAAGCTGAATTGGACGATAATCAGAGAACGACCTTTCCATTGTATATACACCGGTCACAGATTAATTAAACATAAGTAGACCATTGTGAAACAGTTGCAATTTAATTTCATAAAATATGGATATTTGACCTACTGAAGATGGAAGATAAACAATCGAGCCCATAACAATTATAATGCTAGCAACATTAACAAATGAACTACGTATCGCTTATGGTATATATCATCAGGAAAGATAAGAGTTTGCACCATAGCAACGTATAATTACAGCGCTGTTTGCAAAAAATAACGGAAATGTGAGTTGTACCGAATGTACCTACTTTCAAGCAGATCCGTTTCTATAAACATTGAAGATAAAGATTTAGGAACACGCCTTGTTGGTGTGAGCAAAAATCGCTTTGATTTGTGGATAATAATTTACCGTTAGACAACTGGGCGTTGTGAAAAGAGAAAGATTCTGCTTACAGTATAAACAGTCCCTTCATTCGTTGGACGAAAGTAAGCGTACGTGAAAAAAGTGACGATATTCATATTTTTATTAAATTGCAGTGAATAAAAACAGAGAATTCGAATCACGAAAGCGAAAAACTTGGTTTTTCGCTTTGATACTCGCATCAATGAAATTATTGAATGGGTAAACTCGACTAATGTAGTTTTTGTATCATTTTGTTCATGTTGAAATACATGCGAAATTTTTCATTTTTTTTCAATATGCGACCTACGGCCAAATTAGATTTCTACGGAGTGAGAGGTGTCTGCCTGGACATGTTAACGAAAGATATCAAATTGTTGATGTAGGAAATACCAAAAGTGAAAAAAGAAAAATATTGAGAGGGGTGCCACAAGGGTCAATATTGGGGCCACTTCTGTTTCTAATCTATATCAACGGCCTGCTTCACGTGATGAACTCGTCAGATATAGAAACTATATTGTATCCTCATATGATCCATACTGAGAAATTAGAGAAAGCTCGATCATGGTTCACACCAAATGACTTGATTTTCAATGAACAAAAAACTCTTACTTTTGAAACAATTAGCTTAAATCGAGATAACAAAAATTCTACCAAATTTTTGGGAGTACAAATAGATTCGAACCTGAAATGGATATACCATATAAATATCATGTGTAGCAAACTTAGTAAGACAGAATTGAAAAAATAGTAAATCAAAGTGCGGCACTTGCAACATATATCATTCACTTTTTCATTCAGTCCTTAGGTATGGTATAATCAATTGGAATAATGGATCAAAGGTACATCTTAATATAATATTTGTCATTCAAAAATCTGCAGTAAGAAGCATAATTTCTGCCAATTATGATGAAAAGTGTCGACCAATATTTGTAAAACTTAAAATAATGACCCTNAGTAGGCATTAGCACTGAATTGTTATAATTCTCTAGACTTCTGTCCGTTGAGTATTCCAAACTGATAATTATTGAAAATACATTAATTATATTGTCGTTCTGTGCAGGCAGCTGGAATCCTTCCGAATTCACGGTGAAAGAAATCTTGCAGTTGGCGATTGGAATGATAGAACTTGCTTTGTTGGAGCCTCAAACCCAAATCAAGGGAGGAGTTTTCATTGTTGACCTCAGTGGGCTTTCCTTGGATATGGCTTGGTATATGACCCCCACCCTAGCAAAACATATCCTCAACTTAGCAGTAGTGAGTATTTCTTGAAGGTTACGAACATTGGTTTTTCAAATGAAACATTCTGTTTGATAGAAAGTTCAGATCAAGAATGAAATGTCAAAGTTTTGACGATTTGTCAAAAAGTATACGAAAGAACGAATATTGACCACTTTCCTCAATTGATGAGGTCATTCCATTTGGAACGGAGGTGAAATTTCTTGGCATTGACCTTGATAAAAAACACACCTGGAACGCTCATTCTTAAACGATTTTACACAAATCCAGACTGTCCCTATGGTCATGTCGAAGGATTTGTAGTGGAACTTGGAGTTTAAGTTCCAAACAAATCCATTGGATTGATCTGACAGTCATCACTTATGAAGCAATTTCCTGGTAGCCGAAGGCTTTACAGAGAACGGCTTAGGCGAAGCTCTCCAAGTTACAGAGGCAGGCTTGTCTAGCCATCAGTGGTGCCAGCAATATCACACCATCAGCATCCATGGAGATCCTTCTAGATCTATCTCCTCTCCACATTTCTCATTTCTCGGTTATAGCTGATAAAGGACAATGAATCTGTTACCTGTATGAGACAAACAAAGATGACATATTTCAGAGGCGTGCTGTTCTGTTTACTTATGTTCCGAGTTCCAAGACATTCTGTGACATTTGACATTTTGTGCACCTAACCTATCTTCCTCTATATAAATAAATAACAAAACAACTGTTGTTTATGTGGCTCATGGAGGTGGTATTGAACTATAATTGTTGATTTATAATTTTTTTTCTTTGCTGCTTCCTCTATATCTCCAAGCATTCATTTTTCAAATCTTCTTTTTTTTTTCAGTACTCGTTTCCTATTAGAACAGAAGAGGTCCACGTGCTTCACACCTCCTGGATCTTTGACATGGCCTGGAGCATGCTCAAACCTCTGATCACCGAAACGATCAAAGAAAAAATCTACTTCCACGGCGACGATTTGGAGAGCTTCCACGGCCACATTGACCCCAAATGCCTGCCCAAGAGATACGGGGGCGTGTACGAAGACTACCCTCTGTCTGTCTGGTTTGAAAACGTGCTGCTCAAGGACGAGAAGATCATAAAAGTGTTCGAGAAAGAAGGCTACAACCAGATAAGGCTGTTGAAAGAGGAGGAAGATGCCAAAAAAGAAGGAGACTCTTGAATAACAGTTGAAGATACTCCTTGGTAGTTGGAACAGTTGTACAGACAAATTCGTTTTCGAAATGTGCGATCTGGAATAGTGTTTGAGTCACGATTAGTCCACCGAGAGTTTGTGATATTACGAATAAAATTAATGATTATATTCTATTCCAAAACTGACAGTTGTGCATGGAAATTGTGGAATCACTTTATAGGTCACTAGTACCAAATTGTAAATNGCGAGAGTTACAAGGAAACAAACATACAAACATACATACATACAGGTGAAGGTAATATAAAGCGTGTAATAAAAAAGGCACTCAAATCTGTCAAATTTGTATTCCGTTGGAATGGTTATTACGGAGTGATTTACACATCAGTATATCTTGGAAACAATATCGACCTACATTATTTTCGTCATAACATTCTGGATTTTATTATTTTTATGAAAAAAATATTATTGAGTTTTTCAAGCACTTCATACGAAAGTTCTTTGAGTTTTCCCACGAGAATAGTTTGTTTTTAGATTGGTAATCAATTCTGGCATTTGATGAATAAGAAACAGTCTTTAATTAACTTTAACTCCATTTGTATTGTTTTCTTATGAGCTACATTATCACTAATAATAATTTTTTTATGAAATGTTGTCTTTTTTGAGTTATTCGCTAAAAACCTTGTGAAAACGGTGAATTTATTGGTTGAAAAATTGACTTTGACTCGCTAAAAAATCTTTCAAGAAAAAAATATTTGTATATCATTGTAAATCATTTTTCACTTCTGAGAAGGTAACCTCCAGGGTAATACAGGGAATTACAGAGTTGGTAGAATCTAAATCCATATTTTTGGACAAATTGGCGCTTTGTGGCAACATTATACAGTCTACCCGTATAAATTATACAATATCACCCGTATAGAAACTTCTATCGTCAAAATAGATAAGTAATCGATACTCAGGTATTTTGATTTTTGAAAGACCATTCAGAATAATCCCAAAAACTCTGAAAAAACTATTTTAGCTTCTTATTCTATTTTTATGAATGAAGAATAAAAACTTCCGAAGATAGGAAACAAATTTCAAAGTATCTTGTTAAATTGGGCTGAAAAATTTTTAGACTAACACACAGATGTTGCTACTATCATTGAATACAAATGATATTTAGTGAACCCTAACCTTCAAAAGACACGCACACAAATTTCAAAGCTGTCGGACTATTTAGTTTGTGGGATAGAACACTTTGAGTCAAAACTGAGGGCTATTTTGAGGCCATTTGAAAAGTCAATACACTAACATATTTAAACTTTTTCTTATTCCGGAATTCTTCAATTCTTGATCAGCAATGATAGATATTTCCACTTCATTTCGACCAATTGACGAATTTCAACTGTGACAGAAATCTCATGTCAGTAAGTTTGCACCACACTATCTATGTGGCACTTTACATTCATCAAAATCGTTTAAAAGTCATTTATACGAAGATATTTATCTAAAATTGCTTTTAGTGTATATCGTCGCAAAACAATCACATTTTTGAGTTTGTCCCCGAACCTTCACTATCACGTGAAGTGCAATGAACCACCTTCATGATATTGACACATCCGAATGCAACTGAACGTGGTGTTTTGACTTACTGTCACTTCTGGAAATGACCTCGAATTTCCACAACATATTTTTTCGCTGAATTGCTGAATTCTATACCAGGTCATTAAATCAGGCAGATTCTCATTTGTCCACAGTTAAAGTGATGGGAGATGTAAGACGTCATCGTGAAAGTGAAATTTTTCGGAAATTCGAAGAATTGGCGAGAGGTATTAGGAAAATTTTCTCGTGAAGTGGTTACTGACAGTTTTTCGTCTTTTAGAGAATAATGTGCAGCGACTGGATGAAGATTTCCTAAGGAGATTCTTGGTTGGTCATCAGTACGATTTATTTCAGGCTTTGAAAGCTGTAAGTACATCTTTTCTGAAGAAAAGTCTACGAAATGTTTTCTGAAATTTCTCGATATTGACTACTTTACAAAAGCAACCCGGTATATACTCTGCTTCTAAACTGATATGAAAATTTGATAACATATTCCTTATAAATTTCTCAATTCACCGCAGCGTTATACAAAATGAGTTTGCAAAACAGACTAATACGGTTAGACAATTAAATCAAGCAGAAACGATAGGAGACTAGTTTCTAGAGTTGAAAAATTCAATCAACTGATGGAAAGCACTAACATAACAGTTAGACTGAAAAGTTCATAGGCTAACATAGGAAATTTTAATAGTAATAGTAATAATAATAAAAGCCATTTATTTTCCCAAGAAACATGCAATGTTTATAGCAGGGAAAAAAGAATAATTCAAAAACTAACTATAACATAACTTAGTACGATCAGAGCACAAAAAAAAAGATAAATCAGAATTGAAACTTGGAGAAAATATAAATTTACATATACACATATACATGCATATACACATAGATTTCAAATTCAAAAATAAAATATA